AGAGCACACACACACACACACACACACACACACACACACACACACACACACACACACACACACACACACACAGTGGCTCTCGCTCGCTCCCACGTGTCTTCGTAACACCACACATCTGGGACAGATTGACTGAGTTTCAGGGTGTGTGTGTGTGTTTCTGTTGAAGCAGCCGAATCAAACACTGTGCGAGTGTGTGCGACCCATTGACTAGTTTTTAGACTGTTAGAGCTCACAACCCAAAACATTCTGAGTAACTGCCAAGGGGCGGGACTTACTGGGCTGAGCTCTAATATGATTGGGTCTCAATCACATCCATTTACAAAACAACCAATCACAGTCAGCGGTTATTCTTTTACTAAAACTTGTGATGAAATATGACCTGATTTCATGTAGAGTGGGGTGCAAAAGTCTGAGAACTGTTTTTTTTTTGTTAACTTTAACCTGGAAATATACAAAGTTGTTGTTTTTTTTAATCATTTTAAGCAAAGAAACATGACATAACATGAAGAAATGTTTCAGATTTTGTACTCTTTCTAGGTCACAGTAAGGAAATTAGTGACGCGACACTTTACGATCAGATGTTCCTGTTTCCACTGAAGCACAAGACGTTCTTTTAGACAATTCACACTGAAGAATCAGATTTTGATCATCAGGTTTGTTAATGTCACCTTGAGTGCTGCTGTTATTAAAGCAAAATAAAAAATAAATATTTAATAAATTGTTTAATAATTACAAAAATAAAATACATTAATAAATAGAATAAATAAATATCTAAAATAATAGGAGAACTAATAATTAAATAAATTGCATTATTTTCTATAAATAAATAATTTAAAATAATTTAAAATTGAAATACATTCATAAATATTTTTAATAAATCATTTAATAAATACATTATTTACTAAAATAATTTCATGAACAAAAGCATTATTTCTTTAATAAATATAAAATAAATAAAATAATTTAATTAGTTAAAATTTTCTATGCAGTTAATTAAATTTGTATTTTTCCAATAAATAAATAAATACAAAGAACAAAAATTTTCACTAGTGGTCTCAGTCATTTGGAAGTGCATATCAAAGTATTTGCATCATATTCTTGCCAAACCTCAAACTTTCCCCGTTTATCACCCCCTCCACTCATTTCATTCTCTCTCTTTCTATTTCAATTTATGTCTGTCTTTTTATTCATCTGTGCTCTTTGGTCTGCTCTGGGATCGCTTTGGATATTAATCATGGATTCATGAAAGCAGAGAACATGCAGAAATATAACGTAAAACAACAGTGCTTTCTGGAAGTCATACAAAAGCCCGCAGTCAGTTTGTGTTTTTGAATCTTGCCCGAATAAATGCATTATTTATGTTCAAAGCCTGGATCTTAAAACATTAAAAATAGAGTTGTGTGCTGCATTACGGGTTTTAATTAAGGCTGAATGTCAGTGTGTGTGTGTGTGTGTGGTCCGTCTCTGATTTCTGTGTGTATTTCTTTTGTTCTTAAAGGTGGAGGTTTGGGATTGGTGGCAAACGTTACCGAAGAAGTTCAGATCCTTAAAAACAGAGTGGAGCTCCTCGAGCAGGTCAGACACACACACACACACACACACACACACACACACCCTCAGGACACATCCTACTTCAAACGACGGGAAACTGTAGTGCGTTTGCCAAAACAGCTTATTGGTTCAAAGACTTGCTAATAGTTTAATTAAAAGCAGTAGTCAAGCACACACATCACAGGCTCTGAAATATTAAACACTGGCAGATACAGGTGACCATTAACTGGCTTTGCGGTTTGCAGATATTTCTGGTAAATAACAACTAACACTTACTACACACACTCATTACCTCACACAATTTAAACAGAAACAAAACAATACTAGCTTACTGTAGAATATGCACTGTACAAACTGCCTATAATTTCAATTAAATAAGGGTGTGATGGTGTGCAGTGTTATTTTACCATCACTGATATACTTTATAGTTTATATTATAGTTATAGTTTATAGATATATTATAGTTTATGTTAATGTTTTGAATTAGATTTTTTTACATTTTCTGTTTTCATTTGAATTTTAGTTGAAGGTTTAGTAATATGGTTGTTTTTTTCCTTTTTATTAGTGTTTTTTTTTAATAGGTCTATATAGGTTTTATTCATTTTTATTTATTAACTTTAGTTCAATTTAATTTTAGTTAAGTACTTCAAGTTATTGTTATTATTAAACTAAAACCCATTAAAAAATATTTATTTCAAATAAATATTTTTTTTAAATAGTTTTAACTAACTATAATAACCCTGGCAGTATGTAAGGATAAAACAGTAGTGTGCATAATAAATTGCATGTTCATGTTCAGAATATGTTTTTTTTTTTTTAATGGTTTATGTTAGTTCATTTAAAAACCCTGCAGTGCACTTGCATAGTTTGGCGATTGTAGCATGTCATCCATGCATACAGAAAATCTGTGCTACACTATACATACTATAGACTGCAAAAATAGCGTGAGTAGTATAGTAGTATGCTGTTCTAAACATATCCTACTAACACTTTATAATAAGGACTCATTCATTAACAGTTAACAAACCAATGAGCAGAATCTTTTTTTACAGTATTTATTCATCTTTGTTTAAGTTATTAAAAATACAATTATTCATGCACGTTCACAGTGCATTAACAACTTTTGATTTTAAAAATGATTTGGTAAATGTTAACATTAAGATTAATCAATGCTGTAGAAGTATTGGTCATTGTTAGTTTATGTTAATTACAGTAAGAACTACTGTATTAAACCTTATTCTCATATTTGCCATTTGTAAAGTCACAAATTCAGTGTCCCCAAATGTAAAAATACCTTCCTCTCTCTCTCTCTGTAGAAACTAGAGATGGTTCTGGCTCCCTTCACCACGCTCTTCCCCTTGGATGGTATGGGAGACACTAACAGCTTCCTGCCTGAGAGGACCAACTTCCTGTCGCATTCTCTGCAGCAACTAGACCGCATCGACTCGCTCAGTGAGCAGGTCGGGTTCCTGGAGGAGCGTATCGGAGCCTGTAAGCATATATTTATGTGTATGAAATTTATCTGTACAATCGGTTTCAACTGATAAAATAACAGAAACATCTTTATTAGGTGCCTGCCAGGAAAACTAGACGATCAAAGATGGGCTGCATCCTCAAGTGAAACCAATATCTGAGAAGTCTAAATTAACAACCGCAGCACTGAGGGCCTGAACCCTGTAAACATGTTCAATCCACTCAAAAAACATATAGGAAAACACAATATCAAACACACAAACTCCTGTTTGGCCAAAATGAAGTTTTCTGGCCCATGAGCTGGAGCTTTGATTGTTTCATAATGTTTTTCAGTGTATTTCTTTCATTTAATTATTGGTGTAAGTGCAGCTTTATGGTCTCTCCATGTTTAAGTCTGAGTTAAGAGAAATGTAAATGTATGTATTTATAAGTCCATGTTCTTCTCCTGAGTATTGCTATTGGGAAAACAATACAAAATTGTATCACTTTTTTAAACACTGTTATGTTTAAATTTTTGTAATAAAACTGCTTAAACTTCGAATGTTTCTGGAGTTTGTGGTTTCGGAAGATTACAATTTATACAAAATTGAGTATCTGTGGTTTATATTATCTGTAGTTTGGAGAAAAATAATGTTCCAGAAGAAAACCTGTTTTTGCTATGGAGCTACAATAGTTTATTGCATTATTAATATGCAAATTAATGCATTTACAAAATATGCAAACAGAAATTCAAGAACTCATAACTTAATTCACCTTACTTTTAGGTTATTACTGTTTGCAAATATATAAACTTGTTAGGGTTAGGGAATGTGAATGGAGCATTTGTGAATCATATTTTGTAACTAGGGTTGTGACAGTGAGGAAATTTTCCCACCGGTTAATCGACGTGTGACAGTATGTGACAGTATCACCTGCGGGGGCGTTTCCTCTTTTCCTCGCTTTCCATCGCTTTTAAATAGCTTGCAGAAGCAGCGTGCGCATTTTACTTTCACTTTCAAATAGCGACAATTCGGCGTAAAGCAATTGTTCTTTTTAGTTTGTTTGAATTTTCCCTCTTTTCCTCGCTTTCCTTCGCTTTTAAATAGGTTAAAAGCGCCATGCACATTTTACTTTCACTTTCGAATTGGCGGCAATTCGACATCAATTGCTTGAATGCAACAACAAAATACAACTTCAAACTCACTTTAGCATATATATAAAACATAGAACTTTTATTAACAAAACAAATAAAAACACACCATGCTATAGGGCAGGCTATGCCTAATATAAAATAACAAATAACTTACATAAAGTTTAAATAGGTAGCCTATACAAAATTGGAAATAAGTAAACATGTATAATATAACCAAATAAATAAGAAACGTTGAAAGTTTATTAGCAAAACGAATAAGAAAGCTTGGAGGCACCGCAAACACCTTGATATCAAATAAAATACATAAATTACACAAAGTTTAAATAAAGTAAAAATCAGCAAACACTGTGGAACCAATTAAATAAGAAATTAATGTTTAAAAAAACTTCCAAAATCACCTTAGATAAACGGCAAAAGTCAACAGGCTTTTCAAAATCCAAAATACTGCCAAAAAGGCGCTTTTGCATTTCGTTTCGAAACTAAATCATCCGCGATCGTCTTGTCTGTCTCACCCCACTCTTCTTGTCAGTCAGCTCGACTCGCTCTCTTCACTGGAGAAATGAAATCTGATCTGCGATGCGACTGTCGTTCGGTACGCTGCATTGAGCAGCCGCGTTCAGTTTTTAATTGTAGTGCCTGTTCTTTTACTGAACTAAATTATTTTTATTACTATAAAAAATCAAAACGACGGTGGGGGTCGGTGACGCGGTGGGCAAGTGACGTAACCGGTGTTGCGGCTTAACAACGGTATCGTCACGATATGTCAGCACCGTCTATCGCGGCAAGCCTATTTGTAACTTGATTAATTAAGCCAAATATGCAAATGTTCAAACAAATTTACATTCACAAAATATTTTTGTGCATTTCAAAAGTGCATTTTGTAAATATAAATAAGGTTATGAATTTTAGGAATTTACTGTTTGCAAATATAAAAACTTTTATTCGTGAAAGTGAATAAGCCAAGTATGAAAATGCACAACAAAATTTACATTCACACAATATTCCTGTGCATTTGAAAATCATATTTTGTGAATATGAATTAGATGAAGTAGAAGTCTGAGAGTTGCTTTTTGGAACTATATTAACTTTTTTGTGAATGTGAATTAACTTTCACATTTGTCAATAACATTTTGTTAATACATGAATTCTGATACAATTTTAGCTCCATACTTTAAGTGTGAATTGGAACATCTTCAAATGCATAATATTTATCTATTTGTGTGTGTACATATATATAAAATTGCAAAAAAGTAATGTTTACTTTTGGGTAAAGGATCTGAGTAGGTCTACAGTCAGTATAATTGTGTGTGTGTGTATGTATGTATATATATATTAGAGCCCGACCGATATGGGATTTTTGGGGCCGATACCGATATTTGGGAGTAAAAAAAAGGCCGATATCGATATATCGGCCGATATTCTTTGTGTATATTATAGTACAGTACCAGTCAAAAGTTTGGACACTTTCCCATTCGCGTGTCCAAACATTTGACTGGTACTATATATAGAATACAGTATATACATAAACAGAATATATATACATAAACACATTTTTTGCAATGATCACTCAAATGTGGTGATCAAACACTTATAATGACGTGACAAAGATATGTAATGACGGAGGCAGGGCATTTAACAATTTAACAATAAACTTTATTCAAAATGAGTCTGACAGTGCACTGAACAGTACAGTTGAAGTTTATTCAACTTTAATTCAATTCAATTCCATTCAACTTTATTCCGTTGAAGTTTATTTTACTTCGGAACATTCATTCACGGATTTGCGCTACTGTCTTCACACATGGACGAAACTTACTAGAGAAGCGTGAAGTGTGACAATTTAATTACCTCTGTAAATAAATATAAATTCACGTCTCGCGCACTTTACTGCCCTTTGAATGCAACGTGTACGTTCCCTTGGAACTGGAATCATGGCGGAATTTCATGTGAAGTCCACTTCGCAGGGCACTTACGGTCGAATAAGACAACGCTTGAATGCTGCTGCCTGAACAAGAGACCTCCTTACTGAAGTGAAAGTGTTGACTGGTGTCACTATCTCGCGAACGCGCCGGCGGATCTCCACCAAATTCGGGGGATCCCTTCAGCTCGAGGAGCCCTCTCGAACGCCACCCTCCGCGCGTCGGTAGTCCCCCGGGATCGCTAGATCGGTCGGCGCCAGACCGCGAATTTAACCGCCCGTAATTCCCGAACCCCAGGGGCTATAGACGCAGGGGTGTTCTCATTCGAAAGAGGGCCTCGAGATGTACACTCAATTCGAGTTCGAGAGCGTTCCTCGAGCTGAAGGGATCCCCCGAATTTGGTGCAGATTCGCCGCGCCGTTATGGAGATATGGCCATTCAAAGTTTCAATGGTTTTCCATAGACTTGAGCTTTAAAGCGTTTCATCCAGGTCGCCAGAAGCAAACAATGGAGTGCGCTCTGCTGGACAAACTAAGTAATTACACGATTTCAAGCATTTTATCTGCGTTATATGCGCTGTAAAAAAAAAATTAATATCGGCGGCATATTCGCCGATACCGATATATCGGCGACAGGCTCATATCGGCTGATAATATCGGCTAAACGATATATCGGTCGGGCTCTAATATATATATATATATATATACAATTTTATATTTATATTTTTAATTCCAACACAAATAAACATCTAAAAATGCAAATATTTTTCTTTTAGGTTTGTCTGTAGTAATCGATTAGGCCAAGTAAATGTGTGTGTAAAAAAATAAAAATAAATAAAAAATAAAAAATTGAAATAAATTCCACGACAAAGGTCAAGAACAAATTCTACCATTCCTATTGGAAAAACAGACGATTTATTGACTCTTTGTCCTAGATGTTCTTAACACAGGTTGCATCCAGAATCTACCACAATCAACATGTTTATGTATAATCATCGTCTTATATGACTTTACAGATTTTACAATGGGCTTTAGCTCATTTGTGTGTCAGGTCACCATACAAACACATTCAGCACACACAATGGACACACACACACTCATACACACACATACACAAGGCTGCCCGTGAAATGTCTGACAGGTTCGTCTAACGGATCTTATAATCAGAGCGTTTACAAGCTTCACCTGTTGTACATCCTTAATAGCTTTGGTGAAAATCACACAACACCTTGTACACACTGTTTCGTGAACGCAGCACGGTTTTCAGTCGGCAGGGCAAAACTGACATTGAAAACAGGGCTTATAAAATCTGTGACCGAATACACAACATAAAAGGGGGGTTCAAAAATTGCATTGGTGTTTAAATTTGTACTGAATAATAACAACAACAGGGCCTTATTTGGACATTTAGCAAAAACCAAACTGAACATTCGTTCAAAGCAAAATGTCTCGTTCAAAGCAAAATGTGATACGTACAATTCAGTCCTCTTAAATAATATTGTACATATTAAATTAAGGATGTTATACATTCTTAACAAACAATAAGAACTGCAACATCAAGCATTAAATATAAGATTCAACGATGCAATGCGATTAGAAATGTCTCTGAAAGTAATTACAAATATTCATCTTAATTTACTGCCATAAGCGGTCAATACAGTCTGGTTTAATAAATATGTGTTAAATAATTGATCATTTTAAGATTAAATTGTGAATGTCATTTTCAAATATTTAAATATATCTATTTTTATATGGATTTCCTTAGTTAAACTTAAGGTTGAGGATAAAGTTTAATACCTGATCTATGAGCAGCCCTCACAAATAAGCGCATGACCATTTTATGATCATCTTTCCATGTCTCATGTCAACATCCACTTAAAAATATTACAAACCTCAGCAATTTACTATATAATAATTCCAAGGGACAATTTTACAGCAGGTTTTGAAAATAAATTGTAAATGTAAAATAAATTGATTTTTGAGTTTTGAGATTTTGAGTCCTTCAAAATCTGAATAATAATGGCTCTTAAACACATTTTAGTTAAACTGGCTGCTTAGATAACGCCATAGTCTATATAATGTGTTAGATAATACTTTTTCGATTAGTTATTATAATAATAATTCCCTTGTAAATGGTTTTTAGTTTTAAAAAAAGGATTGAACAATGTTAAATACATTTTTATAAATTAAAATGTTATTTTGTAGCCTGAAAACAAACCAAAACAGGAGAGGAGCAAAGCACTGAACTAAAGTCAACTGGAATGTATTTCTCTCCTAAACGCTAATCAAACAATCCTGATCACAGATCAATTATCAATAGTGTTTTCCACAATATTCTACCTTTATACACAGCCAGCGGCTGAGACTCTTTGGACACTTGGCACAGGAAGAAGCCGCACTTGATAACGGTGACAATGGAAATATTCGTTACAAACTAAACCTTTAAATGGCAAAAAGGAAACAGAACTAATAGTCAGCGCACAATCTGTTTGTGTTTTCTGAATCCTTGGTTGACACCACACAAAAAGCTTTACTCTGGAATGTATAGGACATTTCCAAATCAATCTTTTTGGTCAATAAATCAATAAACCAAAGTTATATAAAACAATAAAGGGACGTATTTAAAGAAAAATACTCCTGCATAAGACTTGCATACAAAAACAAACAACAACAACAACAACAAAAATGACAGAAGTAAAACGAATTGTAAGTCTGTCACTGATTTCCCATAATGCAAGCAAAGTACCTCGAGACTTTGTAGATCTCTGAAAGTAAGAGAAACATAGAAAAGGCATGCATGTCAAACGCACATCCACAATGTTCTCAGGAAGTCGCTCCAAAACTCAACAAAGCAGTCCGAGCCGAACCAACATCAAAGAGGACGCAGTTAAAGCATCACGCCAGAAAAAAACCCCGCCCTTCCGCCGCTTAGCGCCCCCTGGAGTCCAACGGGAGATCAAAACTAGGCTAAGATAACATCTGCTGTATGTACTGTAGTCAAGGTGAATTTATGGACATGTATTCCTGCTTCATGAGGACGTCGGAGAGGATACTAAAGCGCCTGGTTGTCATGATTACCACCACCACAACGGCGTAGTCTCAAGCCATCCTTGTTGTCGGAGCGAATGAAAGGGTGCTCAGTGGGTGGATGGCCCGTTGCTCTGCGAGGTTTGGCCGGAGATCTCCACGAAGGCCGAACGCATGACACTGAACGATTGCTCGGAGAGCGGCGTCACATCATCTGCCGTCAGTCCCTTTGTCTCGATCTTTGGAAGGATTTTCAGAGTGATGGTTCCTGTTTGAAGAAATGTAGAAATGTTTATTATAACTATAATCGTCATCATCATCCTCAACAACAACATGCTCTAGTTTCTATGGAAGTTTGTTTCCACCACAGGATAATAAACAAATACATATATGGCGACTTTTTATCTAGGGCTGGGCGATATTACAAAAAAATGTATCAACGATATAATGTTTCATATCGTTCGGTATCGATAATTATTGACATTTTTTATACTATTTTTCAAAACAAAAAGCAATAGAACATTTTTTTTTACATTTAACCACTGTATTTATAATTAACACAATTTATTGAGACAAACAACAAATATTTTTCGTTTGAACAATCAAACACAATAAAAATGTAACAAATATTTAATTTCTAATGTTTTATATGCAGATTAAATAGGTCTTTATTGTATAGGTCTAATTGTCTCCCGAGGCCACAGGAGGGCGCAATGAGCAAAATAATGCAGCACATTTAAATTGTCAACGCAAGGAAGTAACTCTATAAAAACTTGCATTACGTCTAAATTAACTCATAAAAATCTAATAATTTCGTAAATTGCATAAACAATTATGAACAAAACAGCATCATGTATTTATGCATTGCTTAATCTAAAGAGCCGAAGTGCCATTCACACAGACTGCATTAAAAAACATATGAAACGCAGTGAAAAGGAATAAACCTCCACAAATTCGTGATGTGTTTTCTAAACGTGTTTTAACTTTGCATGGCTTTCTATACATCTTTTCTGTGCGACGCGAGTGCAGCAGTCATATTTGTCCGTCTAAAAAATGCGCTGAATATGCGTTCTGTGTGAATGGCTTGGTTTCGGTTTTAACCTAATCAAACATCATTATCACCGCATCTCGCGCGCCACTGATGACGCTCCCAGATGCACACCTAACATTCAAAATGCAAATGTTTATTTTAAATTCAACTAATATTAATTCTTTGTTCACAATCTCCTCATCACAGACAGGCACAGCACTCATTTCAGCATGTGTTCGTGTTCGTGTGTGCTGTCTGCGTCACTCAGAGCAAGTGCCTATATCGTGCGCTATATCGAACATTTTTTCTGTTGATATCGAAGAAGGTGTACCGTCGATAAATATCGATACCGTTTTATCACCCAGGCCTATTTTTATCTCACAATTCTGACCCAAACATAAATAAACTTATTTCCTCGGAATTGCGACTTTATGCAAAATTATGTCTCTGCCTCGGAATAAAGACTAAAAAAGGTAATTTTAAATATTTATCTCGCAATTCTGACTTTTTTCTTGCAACTGCAAGTTTATATCTCACAATTCAGACTTTTCCTCTCTCAACTTCAAGTTTACATCTTACTTTTTTTTTCTGCCACAGAATAATAAACAAAAAAGTAGGGATGCACCGATACCACTTTTTCCAGTACTTGCCCGATACCGATACTTTTATTTTTTGTACTTGCCGATACCGATATTTTTATAGCATTTGTAAAATTTGTAAATATTGGGTACAGAAACAAAAAGAGTATGTATAATGTTAGTTGGTTAACTTCATTTATCAAATAGATACAGTCAAACCAAAATTTATTCAGACACCTTCAACTTTTCTCACATTATCACAGTTTATTCGCTATAGTTTAGAAAATGGTAATAAAATATGACAAGAACAAATTCAGCTTGATAATGCTAGATAACTTTGATAGAAAGGTATGTAATGGATTACAATCAACCAAAAATTATTCAGACAGCTGTTAGTATGACATTATTTACACAACTATCAATACTTAGTTGGGCAACCCTTAGCCTTAATGACAGCCTGTAGTCTCCTGGGCATGCTGTCATCCAGCTTCATGCACACCTGAACTTCATTTTTTTCCCCAGACTGAATAATTTTTGGTCCCAAATTTGTATCAATTTTACTGGTAGTCCACTGTATGAAGAATTTTTTGGTATAATTTGTCACAGTTTACTTTATTTTGCTATCCTCACTTACATAAATTGTCTGCGGGTTGAAAAACGACCCCACTAACGTGATATTTAGCCCCTGGAATGCGAATTTTACCAGGGGAACCCCGCCAAAACACGCGTATTTTATCTGAATATACCCATTAAAATGTATTTTACAAGTTTTTGTTACTTTCACTGTTCTTTTTTTATTTATTTTTTTTGCTCTGTGGTACATCATCTTTCATTTAATAGCATTAGAGCTGCTCCATTGCAGCGGCTTAGTTCTGTAATCATGCACTTTGCTGTAATAATGCTGAGAACCACTCGTTATAAATCTCCTAACTGTGATATTTTCAGAAATAGAAGTCGCGTTTTTTTTTCCTCATCTGAAAC